GAGGGCGTTGAGCCAAATCCAGGACCTCGAGCTCATCGCAGACGTTTGACAAAACTTAGGATTTGCAGCGTCAATATTGCAGGTAAGGAAAACTTGTGGAGCGCCCTGCCCCACCTGAAACCTAAGGAATTCGATGTGGTTTGTCTTCAGGAAGCCAACATGTCTGATGTCGAAATTAAGGTCTTGGCAGCTGCTGCTTGGAAATCAGGTTGGGTCACCTTCGCTTTGTCCAACAAGTGCTGCCGGGGAATGATAACTATGGTTGGTAAACACCTGAAAAGTCGCATTGCTCACCAACTGGATACCTCTGGGGGGCAGTTGTTAGGCGTTCAGGTCGGTCACATGTGGGTGGGCAACGTGTATTGTGCCCATCATCCTGAAAGAGAAGCTTTCATGACGGAAGCTTTCCAGCTGTGTCACTCATGGTCCCCGAATGTTTGGACTCTTGTGGGTGATTTCAATGACACCCCTGAGGAATCGCCTTTGGCCTTTGGCCTTACCTCTTCAGGTTACAGCTCTTGTTTGCCACCTCCTGGGGTTAGCAGTAGATGGGAAAGCCAACGGGTCATCGATTTTGCGATTTGCAACGGTATTATCTTGGACTCCACTTTGAAGATGTGCCCCGAACGTTACAGTGATCACAAAGCTTTTTACTTTGACGTCAAAGCTGAAGGTGCAGATGGGGCTCTTACTAAGGTTGTGATGGTTCCAGCAAACGTGTATTTGCCTCAAGATACCGACCGAGGTATCGATTGGACAGAACGCCTGGCGGATGCCTGGCAGCAAAATAGACAAGTTTGGCAGGAATTTAAAGTGAAAGCTGAACAAGAAATCCGCGAAGCCGACAACATGTCAGAAGCGGTCAAACAGCATAAAAGTGACCGAATTTGGGACCACCTGAATTTGTTACTCGAAACGTTTCTTCAGAAACAGGCTCAGTGGGCTCAGTGGGCCCATGCGGCCCTACAGAAAAGCTAAAGTCCATCCCCACTTTTCGTCATGTCCCTTTGGTCATCCACCAACCCCACGCTCCGAATGCCTCAAATCAGCTTCGCACCTGGATGCGGTTGTGGGGAAGGCTCAGTGAGGCCGAGAGAAGACAGCATCATGACAACACTGTTGAGAATTCTAAGGATCTTCAAAAGCTTTGGAAGCGCATCCGCAGATGCCCTCTGTACCAAGCAGGAATGACTGCCAAGGATGCCGAAGCTGAGGTTCAGCGTCAAACCGATGCGAGCCGGCAGAGCAGACTTAGCAATTGGAAGGTTCGCTTGCAGCAAGATAACGCTCAGGTCTTTCGATGGGTGCGGTCCTCCGAATCGGCGCCCACTGTTACCTTGTATGACGACGAAGTCGATCCTGACGACCCAGCTAGCATGGACAGCTCTGGTGCCTTGGTCAAAATCGAATCCTTTTGGCAGAGAGTTTGGAACCGTGACAATAGCGATGCTTGGACTCCGCAGCAATATCTTCGTGAATATGGCGGGGCCCCTGAAGTCGAAGAAAATTGGAGCCCTGTTTCTGCACAGGCTCTTAGTGCCTCGGCTGCTAGACAAAGGCACCGAGCCGGGGGCCCTGACGGCTGGACTGGCAGCGAAATGGCAGCTTGGCCGTACAACATGTGGGCTGACCTGGAATTTGTGTTTCAAGCCTGGGAGCAACTGGGATGTTTCCCAAAGTGCTGGCACTTCATGACACAGGTGATGCTCCCCAAAGGAAACGGTCAAAGGCTCTCTGACAGCGCCACCCCGACCAGCAAACTTCGACCAATAAGCCTCATGTCGTGTTGGTGGAGAATTTATGTGAGTGCCCGCTTAGATGGGGACATCGAAAGACGTTGGTTAGAATCGCATTTGTTGACTACCCAGGCTGGAGGTAGGCGCAATCGAGACAGTCAAGGTAGCTTTTGTGAACTTGCTGAGGGATTTGCCAAAGGAGCCTATGTGGGATCATTAGATCTCTCCAAGTGCTTTGACCATGTGCGCCCGAGCTTGGCTTGTGATACTTTAGTTTGGAAAGGTTTTCCCCGAAAATTGGCGGCTGCTATTCAGAAAATTTGGGAAGGTCAATTGCGTATCCTTTCGTGGAACAAAGAAGTGTGCCCCCGAATCCAAGGTGTGTGTAGTAGCATCCCGCAAGGCGATAGTCTTTCGCCGAGAGTTCTCAATTTGATCATGAGTATGCCCATGCGTCATATTGTGCAACAAGAGCCTGACACTTGTCACGTCGTTTTTGTCGATGATAGATCTTGGTGTTCTCCCACCTTGCCTTCCTTTCTGAATGTTCTCCATCTTTGGCATGAACACTCGGCAAAGCTGGGATTCAAAGAAAACAAGCTTAAAAGTCAGTTCACTCACAGGCAGCCTACCAAGCGTCAAGATATGATGCAGTTAGAAGAGCTGTGCAATGGAGTGACTGAAAACCTTTTTGCCTTAGGCGCTGCTATGGGTTTTGGGTCCATGCTGCCTAAGGAACAAGGCCGCATTGAAAAGGCAATGGCTTGTGCTGCTAAGGTTCGTTTGGCTCCTATCTCAGCAGCTCGAAGATCGTTTGTTGGCGCACTTGCCGCAGGTAGCAAAGCAACTTACGGGTGGTTGGTCCGTGCTCCCCCTGGAACCGGGCTCATGTCTAAGTTGGAAACTCGTCTCCGAAGGGTGGGCTACTGCCATCGCATGTCCTCTCCTGCGCTCATTAGGCTGGTGATGGGTCACCCAGTGGACATTCAGTTTCAATCTGGTGCGGCGCTCATCGGTGCGGTTCATCGCACTGTTCGTCGGATCCGAAGAATCTTCAGTGATTGGGACCTCTCTGGAGGTCCGGCTCAGAGAGCCAAGAAATGGCTTCAGTCTCTTGGATGGTCATCTGTGGTGCCTTGGGTTTGGCAACACCCTGCATTCCATTTCAAGCTTAGTCTGAATCCTAGCTCAGAAGACTGGTCTGATGATTCTGAGTGGATCGCTCATCTCCTCCGCGAGGCATGGAGGTGGCATTGGTGGCAAAAGTACATGGCATCCCAACGTCATGAACTGGTTGAATTTGGGGATAGGGAGTACCCAAAGTTGCTTCTTGAAAACACTCGGAAAATGACTTCGGGTGCCAATAAGAATGTTATTGCTGTTTTGACGGGTGCATTTGTGTCTCCGCAGATGCGGACAAAGCAGGCTGACGATGTTCAGGAAAAGTGTCCGTGGTGCGACGGCTGTGGTCATTTTCATCATGTGGCATGGGAGTGTCAAAATTCTCCTCAGGTGCGAAGTCGCCCGGTTATTCCTCAGGATCCATTAGTGCGAAGATTTGGTTGGGGTGATAATCAGGTGGTGCAACATTTGGCTGCTTGCCGTGACCTGCTCCTGAGGTGCAGGTACGGTGGCAACTAAGGTGGCAGTGCTTTGCGGGTGGTGGGCCCTCTGCTGCGTGGTGCAGCGGAATGGTGCGGCTTTGCTGCGCCGAGTGGCCGCTGCCGTCGTCTATGCTGCTGCAGACGACACTTCACCATTGATAAAATCATCGACCGTAACATTCACCAACGAAGCCGAACGGCATACGTCGGATCGAGTTACCCTCAGCGAAGCCGAATGGCATACGCCGATTCATGGCCAGTCCTGACACAGCACTAACTACAGAAAATCTCGGGACTCACACTACTGAGGTCGCCCACCTCAGTTCATAGTTCAAAAGTTCGCCCATGCATGGAAGTCATCGTGCGTAACGTCACATGCAAATGGCTACAAAATGTGAATCAGCCCGGCTCTCATGCCACTCTCAGAAGTGGTCCACAGTGAAGTAGTTCAGCGGCGGCGTCGCTTGGTAGTGTCCTTGCTACTTGCCGCTGCTCCACCTTCTTCTCCAGGAACATTGGTAATGGCTCTCACGTACGTGCGGACACCGTCACGACCGGCAGGGTCCAACATTCGCACGCTGGCCTCGAGCTGCGCATCACTTTGTCGGACTGTTTTCAATTTGCTTTCCCAGACTTTCTCAAGCCCAGCTGGTATCTTCATGCCGACTTTGTTGAGGCTATCCATAGCCGCAAAAATCACACCCTCTCTGTCACCGCGCATGTCAATGATACTGGATCGATATGAAGGTGATCATCTCGCTCAGGAGGATTCACTCTGAAGTAGTCATACGATCTGATCGCGAATGCCCCCGAGATGATCTTCCGGACAAAATCTGTGACTTCACGTATGGCGTCCGCCTTCTTGTCATCCTCAGCATCATTTGCATCGTTAAGTTTGCTGCTGATGAACTGTGGGGCCACTCCAGTTTGTACCAAATATTTCATGAATCCCCCTGCAGTTTCCATGGGGGACTCATGAGCCTCCATTTTATAGAGGGTACCTAGGTGGTCTCTATAGAATCGACTTTCTATATGAAAAGTGGTAGGTTTATGCTCTATAAAATCAAAGACTATGTGGTCTAGAACCCCAAAATAAGAAGATTTACTATAAAATAGGGGACATGAGTTACCAATTTCCATAGGGTTAATTCTGTTAAGTTGCCAACTTTTGGCTCTATAAAATCATGGACCAGATTTTGGGCTTGCAAAAGGTGCTTTTTTGGAGGTCTTTTTGGGGATCCCAAATTTGACCTGGTTTTGGAATTTAATGATTTTATAGTGGAATGATAGGGACCTACTAATCCCAAGACAAACTACCAGGACCCCTTTTTCATTGATTTTATAGACAGCATATGACAGCATTAGACAGCCATTGCCCCCCTGCGCCCCCCTTCGATTTTTTCTTGCTTCACCATAACTCAACTGTTTGTCTCTTGCTTCAAGCCACTGCTTGTGCAGTGCGCAGCCAGCTAAGATCCATGCCGCAGGGATCTTTGGCTGTTACCCCCAAAACAAATGACAGCATCATCACAGTCATTCGCAGTCCATGTGTAAAAACAACTTGCATTATTTTTGTTTATTTTTTATGATTGAAAAATATCGATAAAAAATCATCCCTACATCACATATCATCACACTGTGATTGCTGCTGTGTTGCCTCCTACTTGGAAGACAAATCATGGAGGAACTGACAAATATCGCGGATCAGTTGCATCCATTTCTTTCGGTCTGGTGTTTCACTTTCCAAACCCTCGATCACAGCAAACAATTGCTTCGAGACCAACTCAGACCACCTCTTAGGAGTTGCTGTCGCGTACCTGAAAGAGGGGGCATGGTGAGGCAAAAAATATGCTCCAGCTATCCCCAGCTCTACTCTATAGAATCGATTTCTTTTTGGTTCATGGATCTCTCATTCAAAATGATAAAACACTATATTACAGCCATCCAGCATTATCATTTTTTTTGATTTTATAGATGAACATCTGTAAAAGATTGTAAAAGATTGTGAAAGTGCCTAATCATCCATGTGACCTCTATAAAATCGAAATAATTCTGGTAATATCTTGGAATTTCTTGGAAATTCTTGGAATATCTTGGAAATTCTTGGAATATCTTGGAAATTCTTGGAATATCTTGGCAACTCTTTGATATTCTTGGCATATTTGAGCAATTCTTAGCCGCTAAGAGCCAAGGCACAAAGCTTTGAAGTATGGATGTGCAGCTTTACAAACGTCCACCCACTTCTTTCCCTGGCAAATTGTGATCTTCAGCCGGCACTCTTCTGAGGACTCTGAGAAAATGGTGTTGTTCTTGAACTTCACATCATCCAAGTGCTTGGCTTTCTGCATCTGCTGCTCCACCAACTGCACTCCAACACCATTTCGACGGAAATTTTTGGGATCACTTTCGATTTCAACCTCTGCCTTGGCCTTCTTCAATTTTTTCCCCTGACTTTTTTCTTCCCTGTATTTGCACTGGCTGCTTTCACTGCTTTGGCCTTGGCTTTAGCTTTTGCAGAAGCCTTGCCAACAGCGCGCCTGCGCCGAATTTGACCACGCAGGAAGAGTCCCACTTGTCGGGGTTTCTGTGCTGGGGCGTCTGTGCCTTCAGAAGGCAAAGGCCACCAATCTTCGACACAATTTTGCCTCAGTGAGAAGCATGCTTCTTTTGCATTCATTTGCATTCTATTTCATTCTATTTCCATCTATTTCAAAAAAACATTTCAATTCAATATTATTCCTCAAGCTATCCTGAGACATCCTGAGGCAGGCAATCTGAAAATTTTGTCAAGTGGCTTGATCTTCTCCAACATGTCAACGGACTCCTGAGTAAGTTTGACCTTGCACTCTTCAGTCTCATTCTGAACTGAATCCCATGCAAGGACGCTCACAATGGATTCTGGTTGGATCACCCAGGCAGGGCTGCGAGAATTGCACTTGAACGCATTGCCAACACCGTCCATGACCACAATGCGCACTGCGACGCAATGATTCATCGGTGCCGAACTTGTCGCCAGGCGAGGCTTTCTCACAGAAACCCAGACCGACATCACAATTCCCACCACACTCTTGCGTGCAGAACTTTTCATGCCACCAGGAAGCAAGGCGATGACAATATCGCCAGACCTGAGACAAAGAATGAAAAAGATAGAGCCAACGGGTCAGGCTGGGACCTGGAGAAACAAAAAATTATGGGAATTTATAGAACATTATAGAAAATTATTGAAAATTACTATAAAACGACCAGAAAAAGAGTGTATAAAACAGAACGAGGTTCTGCAAACCGTCCGGTAAAACAGTGTTCATGGACTTTTCCCGGGCGGCCTCCTCTGCCAAATCCCTCCATTTCTGAAGGCGACCCGTGCGCTGACGGAACACTGTCGTTTCCTCTTCATCACGCATCTCCTTGAGCTTGTGGCAGTTGAACCTGATGCAGCTTGTGAAATCCCACCCTCCCCTCTATAGAATGGAGATATTTGATGTAGATTGATGATTATATCATGTTGATTCATGTTGTATCATGTTGTATCCTGATATTAATTCATTATGTCTCTATAAAATCGAAAAATATCAAAAAAACAAACCACAACCAAAACTCCCTAATAACATCTAATAACATTATGTTGGGAATTGTTGGGATATGTTGGGAATTATTGGGATATGATGGGAAAAGATGGGATATGTGTTTCTTTTTTGGTTGTTGTTTGATACATGGTAGGCCAGAGCATGCTAGAGCCAAGAAGCTGGTACCAGTTGAGGCCTGAAGACTTCCTTCTGGATGTTCGTGGGTCAGAAATCCAGGTACGGTCACTGCCCTTTTGCCAATGGCGTAAATACATGACTAAACGCCATACGGAGTCGAAAATCTCTGCATTGGTCGCATGCTGTCCCAAGCACCAAAGGGAATGATGCAAAGTCTCCCCCAAGCCGCCCGAACAAGACCCTTTGGAAGGAGACTCTTGCGGCACTTCTGGTTCTCCATCATCCGAGGCGGGCTTCGCTGAGAAAAGATCTTTGAGAAGCTCTGAATCTGGGACATTCTTCAGCTCAAAATCTTCTTGGACTTCACTAGTTGGAAGTTCTTCAGGAAGGTCGCCCTCCATCGCTGCATCTGTGCAAATCTCATCAAGAAACGTTGAGGCCGAATTGCCACTCTCCACAGGACCATCCAGATCCATATCATGCTCATCACCCAACAAAGGCCCTTCCTTGTCAAAGCCCTTCTGGTTGCACCACTCCAGGTAGGTCTGTTCCAAGGATTCAATGGTCGAGCCAGCACAATAGGCTGCAAAGCGGAGAGCAGACCGGTAGGCTCGCTCAGAAGCAACATAGAATTCATCAGCTGTCAATGGCTCCATATTCTCTGGAGGGGGTCTTGAATGACCTGCAGGCTTTGGCTGTCGAGCACTGCGCAACATGTCTCTTGCACAGGCGGTCCAGTATGCCTTTGCTGTCAGCTGTGCACTCGGGCTCTGTGTCCTCAGCCGCCCGAAGTGCTGCTCGATCGACAACTCTGACAATCTTTGCCCCCCCCTTTCCCAGGGGGAGCCTTCCGTGGATTTTGAAACTGTCACGCTGATGACTCCCATTGCAGCGTGCTGAAGATTTCTGACAGTCTCTGCTGCCAGAAATAGGGATCCACGCGGCAAGCCACGACGAGTAGATTCCTGATTGGAGAGCATCTGGAACACCTCGATGAGCATCAGCCCACAGAGACAATTTTCTGCATGCATCTCGAGGGGCATGGTGGCGTGATTGGAAGGGGCCTAGGCAGGCTTGACATTCCGTGTAGCCCCTGAGACAAATATATACAACATTATACAACATTATACAACATATTACAAATTATACAAATATCATCAAAATTCATCAAATATCATATGTTTTTAAAGATTTGAAAAGAATATTAAAGCCCCAATGTGAACCATAACATACCATAATACTCTATAAAATCGAGAAACCATCAGAAAACTAACCTGCTGGATAATCATTATGAATCATTGTGACATATTATGACATATTATGACCAATGAAACTCTATAAAATCAAGAAATATCAAGAAAACATCAGGAACCAGAATACTAAAGACATCTAAAGACTCATTGTGAACAACCATAGGACTCTATAAAATCAAGAATTCCCCCAAAATATCCCAAAATCTTCCAAGATATTCCATGATATTCCACTACCATGAGGATTCATGAGATTTCCTAGGGATCTCTAGGGCATATTTCTTGATAAAACTTGAATTTATAGGGGGAACATGGGGGGACATCGTGGGAATTGAAATGGTAACAGGGCATCCTCACGCAGCATACCCAAACCCAGGCACTGTGCACAAAGCGATGCAAAGGTTCAAGATGAGGAACCCCTGGCAGGACCAACTCACACTCGCAAGCTTGCCGGCCACTTCCCGGCTTCTGGGCAGAAGCGAGCAACTTGGAAACATTTCCTGAAAATTCCTGAAAACATCTGAAATATTCTGAAACATTCTGAAACATTCTGAATCCATATGAAAAATTCTGAAAATATCTGAACAATTCTGAACATATCTGAACAAATTATGAACATATCTGACAAATTCTGACAATATCTGAAAATATCTGAAATATTCTGAAAATTTCTGAAATATCTCATAACTCTGAAGCCAAGTTGCTGTGCTGCTAATCACATAGTAGGGGTTCCAAAGGGCAGCATTCATCGCATCGGACATGGGCTCGCTTCGACGGAACACAGCGGGTGGAAGCCCCCACTTCCTCGCGCCACTTGAATCCGTGAAATACTGGCCGAACATGATCGTCCTCAACGGGGAGACTAGCTGCCCCGCTCCATTCTTCGAAGCGTGGCCTGAATGCTTGCCGGGCATTGGCTTAATGGAACAGGTAAGGCCAGGTTTACCATAGTAAGATATGGTAAGACACTCCCACCATCTACCACCTCTTCAAAAAAGTAAAAAATGAAAAATACCCTCCAGATTCCAAGATCATCTGGGATCCAAGCAAAACCCAGGCACATGGTCCTGCAAGACCCCACAAAGATCCCCCCTCATGCATGCAGAGCTTCAGTGGCAAATGCGGGAGACAATGGTGAGGAAGGTTGACGTAGGTCACGTCTCGCCAAAACGGAAGCTCCCTCACTTTTTCGGGATTGACCTTCTGAAAAACTCCGTAGAGACATTCTTTCAGGTAGTGGTGCGCATTGTGACCATCATACGTGATGCCTTTCACCAACCATGCACCCGAGGTCATGATCTTGGAAATCACCACCAGAATTTCCTAAGATTCCACAAAAATCAATGGAAACCCGTTAAAAAGCATTAAACATCATTAAAATTTACTAAAATTTATTAAAATTTTAAAGAATTTTTAAGAATTTTTAAGATATATTAAGCCACTATAAAATCAAAAAAATGCATCTTCAATCTGGTTTTTGCAATCTTCTGTCAAATCCTGTCTATAGAATCAATTTCCCGATGTTTCCTGAACATTCCTTAAATATCCTGAAGTGGAAGGTTATCAACAAACCATAAAAAAACCTTCAGAAACATAGACAAAACATGACAAAACAATACAAAACACTTACACCCAAACAGACCCAGAATCCCAGTTCCCTGCGTGAACCTGCGTCTCCTTTTGGGTCAGCTTGGGGGCTGAGAGAGCCATAGGCATGGATGCCACGCTGTAAGTGTTCTTTGTCCATCCACACGGGTCCCACAGAACAAACTCCAACATCGTTGGTGCTTTCTCCAGCGACTTCACATTCACAGTCAAATCTACAAAGGCCTGAGAGTCGTCAACTGGAGACCAAGCCCCTCCTACCAGCCCTACGGTATCTTTGATCTTGAACTGGCAGGCACTTTTGAGAAGGTATGTCCCGTCCATGCCCATGATCAGGCGTCTGCTCCTGGAGGTTTCTTTGCGAGGGAACAATTGGTCGACAAGCATGAAGTTGTTCTCTAGTTGATCCTCATACATGAGGGCAAGGGTCGGGTTTGGAAGACCCAATTCAGGCAGATCCTCCATAGAAATCTTCGGTTTCCTTTTCTTCTGGCCAAGCTCTTCACAGAGTGCTTTGTTTCCACCGAGGATGGCTAGATTGAGGGCTGCGTTCTCCATCAGATGGATCTCGGTCTCTGATGCGGCTCTGTGTCTGCCATGTGATGTGTTCACGCCGCGCTCTTCCTTCTCCAAACGGATCAGAAGTTGCACCAGCAAGCCTTGCACAAACGGATTTCTGTCTAAGCGTCCAGTGACAGCGGCTTGGGCGATCTTTGCGTTCACTTCTGCAAGCTCCTGAGTAGTGATGGAGTAGCGTCATTAAGGACCGTTCAGGAATTCGAGGATATGTCAAGAATATTTAAGAATATTCAAGAAATTTCAAGAATATTCAAGAACTTTCAATGATTATTGATAAGGGACTGGGGGATAAACATCTGTCATCAATTGTCATCATCTGTCAAAAAAACAACTTTTCTGGGGATAGATCTTCAAAATATTTCAAAATTAATCAGATATTTTTGAAACAATCATATTTCATCATATTTCCATATATTTCCCCTCTATAGAACCAAGATTTGATTTGCATAAATCTTGGAACTTGATTGGGAGACCCACCCTTCCCTCTATAGAATCAAGATGATTCAATATTTTTCTGGCTTAATAACATGGCCCTTCATCACCATTCTATAGAATCAAGATTTGCTTCAAATAGGTCCTGATGATCTTGATGACATATATACTCTCATCATCCCTCACCTCTATAGAATGGAGTTTTAAGGATTTCTAATGATTTTTTATGAAGACTGATGCAGTATCATGCATTATCATGCCAGGTTGTGATCAAGTTATGTCAAAGTGCACTTTGAGAGTTCTGACACAAAGCGTCCACAAACTTGGAGGAGAGAGCCGTCAGGTTTGAGCCGACAGTGTTCACGTGGACTTTGAGGCAAGGGTCCACGACAGTTCCCAAAAAGATCTTGATATTTGAAGTCTTTTGCACGTCAGGGATATGGCTCCAGGAACGCCGAACAAAGGCTTGAAGGTTCATATTTTTCAAGCTATGGATTTGTTTCCAAGCCACAGCATTGTTGGAAGCAAAAGTCCCATCCTCAAGATCCTCCATGAAACTTGCAACCTCTGATTCGTTGCAGAACAAGCGCTTTTGCAACAACATGGCTGCATAGAACTTCATCAAAAACCTCACGGGCGTCTTCTGCACAGACTTCCGATCGGTGAGGGACTCACATGCTTGGCAGCACTGTCTCTTCTCCTCCTTATCGACAAGGAATTTGGTATGGCAATCTTTGTGACGAATCCATAGCAAGTCACCTGCGTAGATATGCCAGTACTTGTGCTGAGTCATATCACAGTCCATATTGTTGTAGGACAACCAAAGCTTCAACTCCTTCATGTACAGGTACAACTTGTTCTCAGGGTGGTGATTCACACAGTAGCCCGGGCATTCCTTGGAGGTTGCTGGGCCAGATCTTCCAACGTTTTGAAGCTTCTCTACATTGGATGTGTGAGTGGGTGCGAGCACGTGCTGATCAATCAGCGTCTTCACAGATTTGAGTTGATGACAGGCAATTTGTTGGTCTTGCCCTGGGGTTGAGTCTTTGTTATGCAAATTCTGCATCGGTACATGAGCCCACCAGCAGGAGTCTCGATCAGTTCAATGACCGGAGCATAACTTTGAACCAGCTTCACACATCTCTGGTACTCGGTCGACTCGTTCTCCTCTTCCTCACCAGGTTCTTTGTCTTCAGGATGACCTGCAGTTTCTTTGGAATCCTGTTTCTCCTTCTCGGTGTCTTTCGCTGCCTCTGCAGCCACAGCAGCCCGAACCTCAACTTCATCCTCTGGGATTTTCCACTTCTGCCTGATGAGCTTGCACACATCGCATTTCTTCTCGTCCTTCTCGTCCTGCTTTTTCTCTCCAAGCAAGAGCAGCTTGAAAGATTTCCATCCACCAGTGAAGCAGGCAGCAGCTTTCCTAAGAACTGCCTGTTGACGATGAAAGGTCGTAAACGTCTGGTACGTAAGCCCTTTCTGGGCCAACCAAGCATTCAGCCTCCGATCGTCCACTTCCCTCTGTGTTGGATTTTTTTTTTGCAACTTCGTTCATGAACTTTGCGTTTACGATCCCTGACATAGTCCTTCAGCATAGCATCGTCAATGTCCTCCACGTTGGCATCTTTGAGCACGGACACATCGCCCTCTTCTTGGGGTGCCATCATTATTTGGTGGAATGCTTCCTCCATGTCTGGAGCTTCAGGTTCTTGAAGGGTCCTGGCACATTTGCGTTGAGGCTGCATCAGCTGTTGAGGTGCATTCACATCCTTGGAAACCATAGGCACAGGTTTCGCGCCTTCTGCACGTTTTGGCCCTTCAGGCTTGCCTGTTGCTTCTATCAGAGACGTGGCTGGGCATCTGGACGAGGTGGTGTCTCAACACCTGTGGTGTCAGGCTCCCCTTTGCGTTGCCAGGTGCACCAGGGGGGTCTGGACGAGGTGGTGTTGCCAACTCCCTGTCCTCATTTCCAAGGGAATCACCTTTCTTCTGTTTCTTTGGGGTCTCTGGCGCAGGTTCGTTCTGTCGAAGCCGATCGGCACAGAAGGCATCAAACAATGTTTGCCACCACAATTCACCTGAAACCATTTCCCAGGCAGAACCCATCATTCTGCGGATCAACGAAACTTCGTTCTTGGCCTCTGCGGTGTCAAAGCGGCCCACATTCTGGTAGCCTAGATACAGAGTCCGCAGCGACCAAGCCATGCAATCCCCGTCAGCAGGAACTTCACAAATTGCGATCCCCTGGTTGGAACACTTCCTCACCAAGTTCGTATAGTTCTTCAGCCTCGGTTTCCGAGCAGCTATCACCAGAATTCATCAGGATCTAGTGGGAAATTGGATCTGAAATTGGAAACATTGGGAAACCATGGGAAACCGTTGAGATCCTACTATAGAATCGAAAACTATCACAAACATTCACAAACTATATAGCATGAACATGCATGAATAGATACCTATAGTATCCTACAGTATCCTATAGTATCCTATAGTATCCCAACAGTGCCTGGTTGTTTCTGAATCTTTCTGATTTTATAGAGATTCAATATGCTTCAATGATGTTCATAATATTTCATAATGATATTCAATGATATTCATATATTGTATATATCAAAATCATTCAAAATCTAAGTTGAGGAACTTTGCATTTTCATCCTCGAGCTCAGAAATTTTTGATTGCAGGATGGCCCGTCCCTCTGGATCCTGGCGGGCCTGTGAAGACACTCTGTCCAAACTGGCCTGGAGCGTTTTCAACTGTGCTCGCTTCTTTTGCCCTTTGTCATTCAAAGAGGACAGAGCCTCTAAGGTAAGCTGGTAATAGACGTCTGGGTGTAGTTGATCTTTGAAGAACCCAGGAATCCAGTGGTTTGCCGGCCCTTTGGGATCGTACATAGCATTGCAGCTGATGAGGAGCCATGTGTTGGGATTTTTTGGATCAATGTCTGGGATATCATTCTGGTGATCTAACAATGTGGCCCATTGTTGTTGAGCTGGAAGTACTTTGATTCTCCCCATCTGGTCCTCCAAACCAAAAGCCAACGTTCCACCAATCTGAAGTACAAAAGCCTGAGCATCAATGACCTCCAGGTAGAAGCCCTTCTTCTTCACCATCTGGGCGTAGGCAACGATCTGCTCCATCTTCCGCTTCCCCGGTTCCCCTGTGCAGTGAAGCCATGGCAAGGAATCGTCAATAAACATCAATAAACCATGTGGAGAGGAATTTCTAGAAACATCATTAAAATTCATTAAATATCCAGATACCACAAAAAAGAGTTCTGTATCCAAATGGTTTCCAATGGTTTCCATATGTGTCCATTTGTTTGTCCGAGATCTCTTATCAATTCATCAATTCTCATCATATTGCCGTAGTGGACCCCAGAACCAGGCCTGCATCATGTGCCAGAAACATGTACTCTCCTCTCGTGATGTGCTCCTCAAGCTCTTTCCAAATGACATCCCGCTTGTGTACTCGGCATGGTTTAGGAGGCGTCTCAGGTCCTTGAAAAGCACGCAATCCTGAATCACGGCCTCCTGGAGGGGGAGGACGGTTCTGCTCGTTGTCCTTCTCCGTTTTGGGTTTCTTCACATTCATGCTCTGTACGGGCGACTGGGCATCCCGCTTGAGTGGTTCTTCTGGATCCCGCTTGACTCGTCCAGGGGGAGTTCTGGGTTCCGCCTTTTGACTCACTTGAGGCACTTCAGGAAGCTCTCTTTTCATGTTTTTTTGCTGCTTGATCTTCTGCGAGCCTTCTGATTCTTCTGCAGTTGCATGTCTCGACGATGTGGGACTTTCTGGTGGTGTCTCTGCCGGTGGCGGCAGTGGTGGCTCGCTCTGGACTCGGCTCTGGTGAAAGCTTGCTGGCAATGAACGACGACGCTGCGTCTTCGCAGCTTTGTCTTTTTCAGCTCCTGATGTGGGTGGATGTTGTTCTGGGTGGTCGACTTGGTCAGCAGCCATGGAAGCTTCTGATGCTGTTGAATTCTGGTTGCCCACTACCTCCTCAGCAAAGTTTGCGGGCTGATTGACAACCGGCGTCTCCTTCCCCATCGAGAGGACAACCTCGTCCTTGCCCTTGTCGAGGTCGGCCTGTGGAGCCTAGGAGCAGCAAAGCCATGGCATGGCCATGCATGGCCTTTCTATAAAATCAAAAAATATCAAAACAAATCAAAAAATATCAAAAACATATGGAAAATATTGGAAATATTGGAAATCATGGAACATATTGGGAAATTTTGGAAAAGAATGCAGAAATATGCTGAAATATGCAGAAACATGCAGAATATTTCAAAATAATGGAACACTTTCATCATGTTACAGCATTTCACCATGCTATAGTGTTTCAATGTGATCTTTGGAATTCTTTGGAATTCTTTGGAATTCTTTGGAATTCTTTGGATATCTTTGGTGGCTACAGGGTGGAAATTCCAGCTCCCCCTCCCATGTCCCTCTATAAAATCGACATCTGAACCACATTTAACATAATTTAACAATATATAACTGAAATATACTGAAATTAACTGAATATCTGAAGATCATTGTAGATCCACAAAGTTTCCCTATATATCCCTCTAATTCCCTCTAATTCCCTATATTTGTCCATAGTTTTCCCATATTCTCCCATTGTTTCCCTGGTGGTCCCTGGATCTCACTGGATCTCCCTGGCCACAGGTTGTGGAACAAGTTGCCAGCTGATCTTCTATGACCTCAGAGTCCTTGCCCTTGTCGAGGTCGGCCTGTGGAGCCTAGGAGCAGCAAAGCCATGGCATGGCCTTTCTATAAAATCAAAAAATATGAAAAAATAGCAGACATGTGACATGTGTGTTGGATGTAATTATGGATTCTCTCAAAGTTTAAACGCTGCTGGATCCGGTTGGTATCATTTCATATTATTTCCGGTCATTTCCCAAATTGGAATCCTGTTGGGATATGATTTATATATCTTATATATTCTTATATTATCTATTATTATCTTATGTTATCTTGATTAATCTCGATTCTATAGTGATATGGTATGATATGGTGTGGCAAAACACTGCAATGCCTGCTGGCTTTTTCTTCCTGCAACCGCACCAACAAGTGCACAGAAACGCACCAATCACACATCATCACACATCCACAATGGTGGGCACCAAAGACATTTGTCGGCCACCTCACCTGGCTTCACCCGGTGAAGCTGGATGCACAGGTCTGGCAAGGACTCAAGCTGCTAATTTTTGTACTAGCGGCTTTAAGGTGGCAGCAATTTTGTGACCATGCCAGCGCTTAGAATTCTGAGCAAAGAAAATGTCACCGTTTGGAATTCTATCATCTGCAGCATCTGAGGCAGCTTGTTTCTTCACACCACCTGTTTTTTTCACGTCATGTGTGGATTGAAGTGATTGAAGGCTGGAAGTACCCGATCTGGCCGTCGACATCCGTGAGAGTAGATAACAATTTGACACCAGCAGTATGATAATGGTGATGAACATAAGGTCCAACACAGACCACTGAGCTGAAGCTTCATCAAAAGACGCTCCAGTGGCCAAAGACGCGCTCCATAGGCACATGGCAACGACGGTGAACAACCGTACTAGCATGGGTCAGGCTGGGTCGGGCTACTACAGCACTGGTTGGTTACAATTCACTTGCTCCAAAAAAGTTCATACTACGGCATTGACGTGCTGTGCCCCTGGAGATTTCTAGAGCATTCTAGAGCCATGATTAGACATGACATCAAAATACTAGACATGACATCATCATACATCATCTGTTGGCCGCGACCTTCCCAAACGCTTGTGGGCCGAGCGTCCGTTTGGTCGTCATTGTTCTCCCGAGCGTCGGGGACAGGCATTGGATCCTCAGAGACAATTCCGTCATGTTCCGTCTATGTAATTCCAGAATTTTCCACATAGATCAGGAATGATCAGGATAGAAATATTTTGTTGTGCTTTGTTGTTGCTTCTTTCTTTTCCATTCTTTTCCTATCTATTTTCCTTTTTTTTGGTCTCAAAAAAGTTCATGCACCAAGTTACTTCACTCTGGTCTGTGTTCTCCTCATTGGCAATCTGCTGTGGCACCTGAAATGG